TTAGTTTGTTGAAGTTGTACACTAATAGTGATAGTTTTATATGTTTTTTTTTGCATTTTGCTTAAGACATGTTCTGAGTCATTGAGACCCACGCAAAATTGCCTTAAGTTATGTGCTTTAATTTGAACTTATGATCGTTAAAGCTGGGGTATTTCGAGTTTGTTTGGTAGTTTTATAATTACAATATAAAGGTGCTAAAAAGATCAAAGCGAAACAATTTAATACAATATAAGCGAAACAAAGCCTCAATAGAAAACTAAAGGCGCGCTTGTCCGAGTGGTTATCTCATTGGTTTAAAATCGAAAAAAGGAAACATCAAAACTGTGGTCGATAAGGCGGCTCAAATCTTAAACATTTAGCAGAAAAACGCAAACTTGACATAGTTTGACGCAATTGAGTAAAAAGGAAAAAGTTGAGTTAAACTTTCTAGGAAATTGCTTACAACAGGACCTTCTTTACAAAACGTTTTTATCAGAACACTCAGCAGGGCGTTCTTTACAACAAACAATCTTGGCCAACCAAACCTTTTTTCGATCAGATTTTGGTTTTTTCTGTTCACCTTGAAGTATTTGGATAAACTTTGAAAATGAGGAGTGCTTTGCGGTCATGCGTTTAAGGAAGTTGTTATTCAAACCTTCAACTGTATTGTTAGTTTTCAAATGCCCAGCTGTAACCCGTTGATGGTAACTGCAGCTTTCAATCTCGTATCTGACGTCGGTTCAGACGTTCTACCTTTACCGCCAAAAAATGAACAGTGAAATTGGCACAGAAATCGACGAAGGTCGGGTTCGCTGGTGCAGGGCATGTTCTTTAAATAATTCAAGTGTTGTTCGGACTTCGCAAAATAGCAAGAAGGCTGCTTTTCGACGTGCGAGCGGAATTTAAGATCAGGCTTATAAATATTTTAACATTTCCTGTAGACTGAATTGTAAAACAGAGGTTTTGCAATTTAAAAAAGTATCAGGTTTGGATTTGCTTATTTTCGTATTTTGAAATAAATGTATTTTTGACCGCTATTTTGAAATCAACGTTTGCTGGTTTTGGAAGTTTTATACCGCGACAATTCAACAATTCACAAAAAAAGTCTTCTCCTTTTTGTCTGAAAGCAATGCATGCACACAATAGATCAGAACTCCTTGTGTTGATACGTGTATAGTAAAATTTTGACAACAATCAGGGCCTTTGAAAAAATGTCTTTCCTTTTCATCTAACAACCGTTTTCTAGTTGGCTAAGTAGTTCGGGATCATGGCTTCATTTTTTCTGGTGATGGTCTTTTTGTAGGGAAACAATTTTTTGACCAGATCGCTCAACAGCAGCAACTTATCTAAACTTAAGAGTTGTTTTGAGTTTCCGTGTGTCAATATCAGCTGGTTCGGGTAAATGACTATGTTTATTTTGTATGGCGGCTTTGTCTTGGAAAGTGCTTAAATGACCAATTCTTTTAGACAAAACCAATAGACACACAGTTTTGAGTTGTTGTTCAAAACTCGATGTTTGAATTATGTGTAGGCATCATGAATTAGCAGTTTGTTGTTTTTATTCGTCAAATGGATTACCCCCGTTAACAAAAAATTGAGGGCATAAAAAGCGCTAAAATCACTCATGACTACAATTTCTTTTAACAGAGTCCTCATTTATTTTCAATTATTTTGGACTAACCAGAAAAAAGTTGTGGTTTTAATGCACAATTGCGTTGGTTTATCGAACTAATCACTTTCATTGATATTTTTTGCATTTTGATATGCTTTGTCTGTGGACATGAATGTCTAGGATACAACTGTACAGACATATCGAAATTGTATTTGCGACATATAAATAATCAAAAATCAAAACACTAATCGATTTAAGGCTTACACAGAAGTGAAACGGAGCTTTACACCGCTTGCGATGCAGCACAAACATAAAAAACGTCAGATAATGAAAAAAAGAAAAATTTTGAACAAAAAGATTGGCGAATTGAAACATTAGTAGTTCTTGATAGAAAAAAAAACTAAGGGTTCTGCGGGATGAAATGCGGGATGAAATGGGGAATTTTAAATTCTTACAGCTTGAACTTTTCCTAAATCCTCAATTGTCAAATATCAGCTAAAAATTTTCTCTAAGACACAAAAAACGCCTCTTTATCGCCACTCTGGCCCAAAAAATTTTCGCAGCCGGTTCATTTGATTGAACTCTTCATCTCAGATTTAACCAGTTAGTTTTTATGAATAGTAGAAAAAAATCTAGAAAACGGCCGAAGTTTCGAAAATGGGTCTATTCGAAATCCATAACTTTTTCTAAAAATAGTGGTCATTTAAGCAGATAAAATTCTTAAAATGGGGCTTCTCGATAAAAAAACTTACGCTAAAAATTAGCAGAGTAGTTTTTGAGAAATGTCGAGAAATTACCAAAGGTTCGAAATTTGGTAATTTTTGAGCGCTAAAGTTTTTATTTACAAACATGGCAGTCGTTTAATATGCAGATAGCATTTCAACATCTTGTTGTTTCGATTACACTCGTGACATAAAAATTGGAAGCATAGTTGTTGAAAAGAGTTTTCGAACAACAGCAAACAATTCAAAAATTGGAGTTTTCTAATAAGCATTGTTTTTTGTAAAAAAAAATTGGATCAGGCCGCTTGTGCAGAAGATATTCACAGAACAGAATACTTCACTTGATCCCGAAAACTCAGATTTGTGAGAGTAGTTTTTGCAAAAAGTCGTTTTGATTTTTCCAAAGGAAAATTTCTGGAGTAAATTATGCAGCGGGGCCTTCCACAACCCGTTATGTCGATTAGAATAACAATATCAGATTTGAGAGTGTAGTTCTCGAGAAAAGACAAAAATTTAAAAAAAAGGACAAATATTAAAACTGAGTTTTTCTAAGGCCCTTTTTTTGAGTAAAAAAAATTGGACGTAGCGGCCTACGGAGGAGAGCTTCCCACAACCTGTTTTATCTGTTCAACCAAAACTTAGATTTTGGGTCAAATTTACCCCACAAACTTTTACCAAGGCTGTGGACAATTGAGAGAAGGCCGTCCTTCGTATGATACAAAATTTTTAAAAAAGTCTCCAAAGCGTCTCAAACAAATTAATTGAAAGAAAAAACCAATCCTGTAAATTTTATTTGCAATTATCATTTGCAACTATTATCACACTTGTTTACAGCCAAGGAAAAGCCGTGACGTGGCAACTAAGCCAACAAAACTTGAATAGACAAACAGAATTTTTAGAATTAAAAAAATTTATTGAAAAAAAATATTCAATTTCATACGTACTAAATGTACTAAACAAGATGTTTTCTTAAAACAAGTGTTTGCAAACTGGGTATCCCTGTAATCACGTTTTTTAGTCGTGTTGCCGTGACTCACTATGTCGACTTTTTGATTTGATTTTTCTATTGCATTCTTTGTTGTTTTTTTTGTTTTGTTTGATTTTTGTAGAAGAGGATGAAGTATTTCTTCCTCTGATTTTGCAGTGGAAAACATAATTTAAAAAAATTTGAAAGGCGCTTTTCATTGCTTTCTTCTAAAAACAAAAAGCAAAAACAAGTTGAAATTAGCCAAATCGCGTAATTTAAAAAATGAGAAACTCGTTTATCAAGAAGAAAACCATGAAAAAATTTAAATAACAAAACTGGGAAATTTTGTTTAAAACAGCTCCTGAACCGAAATTGAAATACTGACCTTGGTCTGAAATAGCATGTCACATGCACGGATTTATGCCTTGGTTGTGTTTTGCTTGAGTCGAGTTGACAACAACTCAAATGATGTTGTTTAATTAATTGTCAAACTTCAAGAAAAACTTATGTGATTTGATAAAGCTAGCTATTCGCAAGCATATTTATTTCGAGTCTGATGATAACAATATTTGCTGTAAAGATTTTTGGGTTTCATGGAGTTCTCGTTTACTTTACTGATTTAATTGCATCATAATGGATCGCTTGAAGATTGTAGATTGCAATGGGTCGATTTAACTATTGTGTTTTTGATCATCGGGAAATAATAATTGAGATTTATTACTTAAAACAATTCGTGGCATCGTTTGCTGGATCGCTAATTTCATAAGTAAAGTAATAACTGCCTAGTTAACGCTGTGTTTAATCCAATGCTAATTGAACGCTTAGCATAGCGTTCCTCAGTTGTTGGCACGACTAAGATTTTTCGCGTTGATTTTCCGAGTTTTCCCCAAACAATTTTGGGTCACAATTTGTTTTAGTGCATTTTGGCTACCCTATAGGTTTTATGGGGTTCGGTCGAAAAAAATTCTTGAATTAAGCGAACTAAATAAAAGCAGAACCTGGCAATCTCTGAAACGGTAGAGGGAATAAACATTGCATCCTCCCCTATATGTAACTACGGAGAAAATTCACAAATTTAATAACGGCCGTACAAGATTGAATGTGATCGGCAATTCCAAACACTTCAAAAACCTACATATCTTCCCCCCTTATAACCCAATTTTCGAGAAACTTTCTCTCAATACGCAGTTTTTTCCAAGAAAAAACTACGCTGTTATGAACAATCTTTTGAAGATGAGCAGTGAGAACATTTTGTTAAATTTTAAAATATTCCTTACCTGATTTATTAAGTATTTGATGCAGTCTGCAGTATTTGAAACTGTATCTTTTACTCTCTCTCAGCTAAACTTAACTTAGCTAGCGTTGTAGAATGATTTCTGAGATTTAGTGACAATGGTTTAATATTTGTTTCGGCTTCAAATTTTTTTAACCTCAAATTAGCTCAAAAATAGCTTGAATAAACAAGAAAAAACCACTAAACAAGAAACAGCTGATCGAGTGGTTAACTAAAACTTTCAAAAATGTCTCAAACTGGCCTGAACAAAGCCAACCACAGGCTCCAAAACCAAAACAACAAAAAGAATGAAAAATTCTGAAGCAGCGTAAACATCAGAAAATAGTTGTTAAACAGAAATTGATATTGATGACAAGATTGTCATCTTCCTGCAAATGCGCAACCCGTCGGCCTTCAATGATTTCAAACGCAGGCGTAAAAAAAGAATTATCAGAAGATTTAAATCGCAACTCTAAACTATGATGGCAGACTTTTCATGGAGTTCAAAACTCAATTAATAAGTATGAACGAACTAACTGACGCATTCTTAGATACTTATAAAACAATTTATAGATAAAATCAATAACCAGGACTCAAGTTTACGATATAACTGACCGTTATCGTATTTTATCGGAATTGCCTATTGGGTTGAAAACCTTTCACCAAATCCTAGAGAAAGAAAATCTCTTTCAGCTTTGGTATCATTTGATTTCATTTATATGCGCAAGTTTGAGACCCGGATAATAAACTTGTTTTAAATGAATTTTAAATGATTTCGGCCGCAGAACATTAACTTCATGCGTCCTCCTCTTTTTTGGTGATTGGCGAGTAGTTCTCGTTGACCATCATCGACACACTGGACACAGTAGGCGGATGCGGTCGCGGGTTATTTTTACTGGGATGATTCTGATTGGATGATGATTGAGGAATGCGGTCGTGTGCATGCGAGTGGAATCGGAGGTAGTAGACCAGCACGAAGAAAGCTACAAAACAACCGCTTCATTTTAGAACAACATTTATTTTCAATACCAATTTGATTTTAAAAACATAGCCAATCGAAGATTGGAAAAGAGTCGTGAACGCAAGTAAACATAAAAAAACACTAGCTTCGTTGAAAAAATCTCAATTATCGAATTTCAAAGAAAAAAAATAGATGCCCTCTAAGTTCTTTGAATTTCTAGAACGATTTATGAGAAAACTGGATCAATAGACAAAGTTTTATTCCGCTGGGAAATCTTAAAAATTAAATCACCACTTTCGACACCAGAAATCGTTCACGTTTTTTCGCGCCATTTCAACGTTCGTATTTGGAGAGTGCTATTCAATGAATTGAATGGAGAGTGCTATTCAATGAATTTCAATTGAACTCAAGAAGTGCATTATACCTAAGTGCATCAAAGTTTTAAGACTTTCCTGAAAAAAAAAAAACAAAAAAAACCAGCAAGACCTATATAAGAGTCTTCAGTACGTTCATTTTTCTTAAAAATTATGTTAATTCAAAAATAAATTCCAATTTAGATTCAACTTGAAGACTGAAGCCGCGGTCGGATTAAAACCAGAGCAGTGCAGCGAAGAAATATTAAATCCCAGGTGGTACAGAGCTGAGTGACTTAAGCTATCTTGATTAGCTCTCGAAACCTTTGATAGATACACTTGTTGCGCAAAATGCGCTGCTAACTTGCCTTGGCAACCAAGCTCTTTTTCTTTTTCCACATTTGATTTTCAATTTAGATTACAAAGGCAAAAATACAAGAAATGTTGAAATCAATTAAAAACTTAAAAGCCCAATACCCCACGTGATTTGAACCCAAACCTCCGGACCTATAGTAGCTTATCTCAAACACTTGACCGGTTCACCTGACTGGCAAAAGTAACCCTAAAATCGTCAAAAAGTGAAAAAAGGAAGGAAAAAGTATAAGTAATACAAAGTCTGACATGTGCCTGAATCCAACTCCCGGCCTCGAGTTTAAGATTAATATGTACCAGCATCTGCAACATAGGCGCTTGATAAACTACAAACACAGGCCACCAAAAAGCAGACTAGCATGTAACGCAGCTCCGGTGCTTCAAACAGATTAACGAACGTAAAAACTGCATATACATAATATATATATGAAAAAGCAATGAAAGGAATGCAACCTTAACAATAGACTAACACTTTCGATTTCAAAAATTGAATGATAAAAAAATTAAATTAAAGGTTCTTTTTTCAAACTAAAATGGTCAAATCTGCAAAACTGCTGAGTTTCAAATCTTCAAAAAAGCTCTTAAATGGCCGAGAGCATACAACAGCAACCTCTATATTTAACAATTTCATTGGCAACACCACTGAATTCAAGAATGAGAATCTTGTTCAACTTAGTTATTTCTTTTCATTAGCCTGTACGTATTTTACTTGCTACCATCAATAGATAAATCCAGCAACACTAAATTAAAAACATCAGACTTTTTTTAAATTTAATTCTTCGTTTAACGAAAATTTTTGAAACATCATAGAAAAACGTCGATTTCGAAATCTTAATCAATTTGAGCAATCATATTAGGATGGAGCCAAGATCTGCAACTGCTAGTAGTAACCTGACTTCACTCCACTAACACGTACTTTTTTGTATAACTTTTTTGAAAATTTTCGGAATATCATAAAAAGGTCATATACAGGAAAGTTAAATGGGTAGAGCAGCCCAATTTGGAGTCCGGATTTTAAATTCCTGAGGGTCCCACCTAGTGCTGAGAAGCTCAAAATTTTTAATTTTTTTTGAAAAGCTTTAAATCATATGAACAAGAAGCACATTTTGGAAATGAAAATGATTCGAGCAATTAAACTTGGAGGAAGGAATTGCAACCTCTTAGTGCGCGCTGAGATCACTCTATTATGAGGATGGGAACTGAAAATTTAGTAAAACTTTTCGTAGATCATATATTTTTTAAAACTTTCAAAAAAATCTTGAAAAAATGTCCTGTCTCAAAAAGAAAAATGATGTCAGCAGTCACATTCGGACGAAAGATTTGCAACCTCCGAAACTACACTGGCAGCACCCATCTATATCTCAATTTTGAAACTGTTGAACAAATCGTAAAAAAAAACAGTCAAATCTCGGAGACTAAAAGCATCTGAGCAGGCACATTGCAACTCCTGAAAGTACTCAACTACAGAATTGTGAACTTCGATTTTTTGAAAATGTTGGAAAAAATAACAAAAAACGCCATATCTTGAAATGTACTAGAACTTGAGCAGTCATATTTGGAGGAAAGATTCGCAACCTCTGAGAGTACAGTGACAGCGGCTGACTAAAGATATGGTAAGCAGTCATATTTGGAGACAAGACTTGAAACACCTGAAAGTACCCTGAAAGCAACCAACTAGAGAGTTAGGAATTGCAAATTTTGTGAATTTTTTTCATTTTTGTTTTCTGAACATTTTTGAGAAAATGACAAAAATGGTCGTATCTCAAAAAATAAAACGATACGGAAGTTCATAATTAGAGGCCAGACTTGAAGCCCCCTGAGGGAACCCTGACACCATCCCACTATTGGGTTGCTAGCTTCAAACTTAGTGAAAAAACACTACATTCAAGCTGGAAAATCGAGAAAACCTTTGTAACCATAGCAATATACGATATAGTTTAAACTTTAAAAATTCTATCGTTTAACATGCAAAAATAAGACGTTGAAGAAGCTTAAACAAGGAGAGAAAGTGAAGCCCCTACGGCACACGGAATCTCTGGTGTCCCTACATCTGTACAACGATGTGGAACCAAACCCAGGTCCGAAAGTGTGGAAGTGTGCAGTGTGCGATAAAAGAGTCAAAAGAACCGAGTGGTCAGTAAAATGCAACGGATGTGGGAAGTGGGTACATTGGGGTTGCACCGACCTAGGAGAGAATGGAAGGTGGGACGCAAGTTTCAGGGCCACATGCTGCCCTGCTCCCCCCCGCCAGCAAACCGACAGCAAACGGATCAGGAGAAAGAGGAACAAAAGAGAGAAGAGACAGCGAAGGCAAAGAGAGCGACATGAGAAGTGGATGAAGGACGCAAGAAACAAAGGAAGGGAGGAGACTACCACGCTATGGGCTTGGAATATCCAAAGGGCGCGAGTTAGTTTCCCGAAAAGAAACAGATTCGCGGAGATTGTTAAATCCATAGCCAACAGCAAGGCGGAAGTGGTAATGATGAGCGAACTCCAAGAACAAGAAGAAGGCTTCAAATGGATCAAGGCCAGGGAGATGTTCGGAGTATTGATCCATGGAAAAAGAAGTGGCATTTTCCTAAGGGACCAGTGGGCCTCGAAATGGGCAGATCAAGGTTATAGGAGAATAATCCGGGAGAGAAGCATCTCGATAGACGTGGATGGCTACCGGTTTATCTCGACATATCAACCACTCTGGGAAGGCCTCAGTATCGAGTTCATGAGGTACAGAGAGGAGCTCTCTACCCTAATCGAGAGCAAGGACATGGTCATAATAGGGGGCGACTTCAACTCAGTGGTAGGGGAGAGTGCTACCAGGGGGCGGACCAGACGGCGGGTATCCACGGTTTAGGCAAGACAAATGCAGCGGGTATGAACCTACTGGAATGGTGCCAAGAGAATAGCCTAGCCTGGTGCAACTCCTTTTTCAGCCACAAGAGGAGAGGAACATGGAAACATCCCAAGAACAAAACATGGCATGAAATAGACGGCTTCATTATGAAACAACAAGACCGGGCAAAACGCGCACGGAGGATTTTCACGGTACCGACGAGCAAGGATCTAAGCGACCATAGACCGAAAGCGATGTGCTGTACCCTGAATAACTCTCTTGACAGGAAGCGCAATAACAAGACCAGCCAACCCAAGAAGAAAATAGACTGGGAAAAACTAAGAACGATAACAAAGGCAACGGAATACGCCAATAAATTAGCTACAGAAGAGCTCGAAGACTGGACACAAACAGCAAAGGCGATGAAGAGAGTAGGAGAAGAAGTGTGCGGCACAGTAGAAAAAAAAACCCTACACCCCGCGCTGGATAGGCACAAAGAGGAAATAGAAAGGGCTCAAAAGAGAATATGCGAACTAACAGCTCGAGCACAAGACGGAAACGAAGCAGCGAAGGAAGAGAGACGGAAAGCCAGAAAGGATTTCAAAAGACAGAAGAAAGGTTGGGAAGAAGAATGGTGGCTAGAGATCGTCAACGAAGCCAAAAGAGCCGAAACTAGCGGCGATATGAGAATCCTGTATAAAACTTTGAGAAGGATTGGCATCAAAGACAATAATAGCTGTGTTGAGGACGAATTCTTCAGCCCGGAGGAATACAAAGAGCATTTCATGCAAGTCTCGGCAACGAGATATGACCGACCGGAGGAAGAAATTAAATCCTTAATCGATAGTCTGGAACAAAGAAGGGACACTGTGGCACGAGAAGCAGCACGGAAAATAGAAATGGAATTCACAGTGCAGGAAGTGGAGCGAGAAGTTGCTCTCATGAAGGACGGCGCGTCAGGGATTGACGGAGTGCGCCTAATTGGGATCAATGCCGCTGACAACACAACAAAAAGAGAAATTTTCAAGAGCGTCATACAACTGCTTGAAACAGATCCAAACACCTGGCCTGAGGAAACCAAAGAAGGATGGGTGGTACCCATTCACAAGAAGGGCCCAAAGAACGATCTACAAAACTACAGAGGCATTTGCCTCCTTCCTTTAGCCAGCCGGATCATAGCCAGAGTACTGGCCTCCAGGATCAGACTATGGGCGGAAGAGATTGGGGCACTAGACGAGAACCAAAATGGCTTCAGAAAGAACAGATCGACCGCGGACGCGACACAGACTATAATCAGAATCGACGAAGAGACAAGTAGAGTTCTGGGAAGGTCTAACCACCATAACCCGAGAAGACCAGGAGCTGTACTCTTGGACATAAAAAAGGCGTACCCGAGAACGAACAAACCACTTTTATGGGGGATACTAGGAAAGCTAGGTATGCCTCCAAGCATCTTAGAAATCCTGAAAGGCTTACATGAGAACACACAATACCGAGTAAAAGGCAAACAGGAGCTGAGTACACCATGGACGCCACAAAGGGGCCTTCGCGAAGGTTGCGCCACCTCGCCCATTCTGTTTAATATTTATCATGCTACATCCATGAGGCAAGCCCAAATGGATCGGATAAAGGAGTCAAAGGAAGAATGCGGCTTGAAGTGGACCTGGAGACCGGGAAACAGCCTCCCCCCTTCGACGTCCCAAAGGAACCTACGGAGCAGCAACAGGATTGAATTCCAGATATTGGACTCGCTGTTTGCGGACGACTCTACTCTGTTAGGAAGTATGGAAGAGCTCAGTCGAGGTAAAGAGACAAATAAGAAAACGATGCTGAAGTATGAAGAAGTGTGTCACAATGGGAAAGAAGAATTCATAATGTTTGGAAGCGAGGCAGCGGACAGGACAAGGATGTTAGGAACTCTAATTGGAAGAAAGGAAGACATAAACGCGAGGATTAAAAGAGGCTACCATGCTTGGTCAAAGGCCAAGAAATGGTTATGGAAGTCAACACTGTCAAAGAAAACCAAGGCGGTAATTGTCCAAGCAGTAGTAGAGTCAACCATGCTATTCGACTGCTCGGTGAGACCTTGGACAACCACGGACATGTCGAAACTACAAAGAGTGGCCGATATAGCGTACAGAAACGTATGGAATAATGGGAAGGGACTGGCGCTATACAGGATGCAGAAGGAAGGGGTGAATAGTTTTGAGATCAGAAGGCAACTAGGAATAACATCAATTCGACAGAAGATAGAAGCACGGGCACTGAAGAGGATAGGACACGTGACGAGGATGCCGGACACAAGAACAGTAAAGAAAATCACTCTGGGCAACTGGACGGAAGTAGGCGAAAGACCAAAGAATGGGAAGAACAACACTATAACGTACTGGAAAAGAATTTTAAAAGAGGCAGGGTTAGATTGGACTAACATCGAAGGTCTAACTATGGACAGAAAAAATTGGAAGGGTATTGTAAACGAAAGGAAGAAGGCCATGGATGAATGGGAGAACAAGATGTGCGAAATACACAAAGGGGATCAGAAACCAACCAGAAGCCAAGCCGGTAAAACAGTCACGGAGGAAGGGTTCAAATGTCGTTGGCCACCATGCGTAAAGACATGCCGAACAAAGGTGGGACGAGACCATCATGAAACACGAATCCACAAGCGCAATGAACTAATATTTGAATGTGAAAAATGTCACACAACTTTCGAACAAAAAGCACAAAGAACGAACCACGCCAAGCAATGTGGAGGGGCCCCAAGAGGGACGTGCCCGGACTGTGGGAAAGAACTCAGCACGACGAACATGGCGAGACACAGAAGAACCTACTGTTCGAGAAGACTTGACACAATGACTCTTAGAAGCGCGAGCACACTAGCCAGGACCACATGCCCGGACTGCGGGATCCCCATCACAAAAACAAATGTAGCAAGACACAGGAACACGGCGTGTCCGGGGAGTGGCAGTCGAGACCCCCAGGGGTTGTAAACGACTTACAAGACAAGACAAGACAAGTGAAGCCCGCATTTAAATATACAACAGATACAAAAATATAAGGTGCAGTGCAACAAAAGTAAAGATATAAGCTTAATGCAGCATAATTAAAACAGAAAAAATGATAGGACCATCAAATAAATGATCTCTTTTATTTGCGACTTGGCTTGAAAAAAAAAAGAGATCGCATTACGACACCACGCTGGCCATATTGGAAGATAACTACTCATAGCGATTATATCATTATCTGTTATTCTATATTCGTAATCAGAGAGCGCAAGATGCCTCCCGATAAGCAAATTAGATTGAACTGAACTTGAAAACATACCGAAAGTCAAATCGCGAACAATCAATATTGAGCGTGAAAAAATTTCCTTTAAAACAAACAAACAAGAAATTGACTTAAGGAGGTGACTTCATTTCGTACACTTGAAGAAGTTGACCTCTTTCCCCCAATGCCCCCATTACATCGCAATTCAAAAATAGACCAAAAAACAGCAATAGTGGATCATTAAGCCGTATATCATTAAGCATCTAGTGTAAGATTTGATAATACTTCTATAAGTAAACAAGAAAATCGCAAAAACAAGAAAATCGCAATAGTGGACACGGAGGCGAAGCTGTGCTTCGCAAACACTTGCGAGAACACGGCCAAAAAGCAGCTCTATCAAGTGACATGAGAAAAAGTAGAAATAAGCCTCGAATTTGCAAAAACTCGAATTAGCAAAAATCTGCCACCTAGCAAATTTGAGTCTCACGCACTAACAATTCAGCCACGGATGCTTAAACTCCCCAAAACTAGCCACCAATAATGCAGCTACTTATGCTAATAAATTGCCAATTCGATGCAGCAAAAGTAGCATCAAATACAAAAAGATACAATTTTACATGTAAAAAATTGCAAAACATAAAGCCATATTATGTATATTGAGAGATATATTGAGTTAGAAAAAATTGCGGGATATATTGACTTAGAAAATTTCTCAAATCGAAATTTTATTATTGTTGCTGTATGAAACAAATATCTTTCTTCGGTTCACTTGAATTAAAAATGTATCAACTGTAAACTTATAACTATTCGAATGCTATCAATAAGCTGTAAAGGTGCAACTAAATATCAAAGGTGCAACAGGAGGCCAGCTAATTACTTCAGTTTTCTTAAAAACTGAAGTGATTACAAGAGCTTGTTAGGTTAAGGGATGCTTAAAACGTTCCTCATTAGATTTGGGTGGGTAGTTTTCGAGAGAAGTCAGAAAGGTTCAAAAAACGGAAAAATCGAAAATTTGACTTTTCCAAGGGTCAAAACTTTTTGTTTAAAAAAATTGGACTTAACCGCCAATAGAGTGGAGCTGCTTCCCACATCCCGTTCTTGACGCTGAAACCAATATCTCAGATTCGGGAGGGTAGTTTTTGAGAGAAATAAAAAAAAGTTTCAAATAACTCAAAAATTCGACTTTTCTGAGGGTCATAACTTTTTGTGTTAAAAAAATGGGCGTAACCGCTTATGCAGGAGAGCTTCTCCGACCCGTTCTATCTATTAAAAACAAAATCTCAGATTTGAGAGGGTAATTTTCGAGAAAAGTTTGAAAAAACGGTCAAAAAATCGGAAATTTGACTTTACGGCGGGTCATAACTTTTTGTGTGAAACAATTTAGGCGTAATAAATTATGTATCGGAGCTTCACACAACCCATTCTACTCATTGAAACTAAAACCTCAGATTTGGGAGGGTAGTTTTTGAGAAAAATTTAAAAAGTTTCAAAAAAACGGTCAAAAATTAGTAAATTAAACTTTTCTGAGGGTCATAATTTGAGGGAGTTTTCCACAACCCGTCCGTTCTATTTGAACTAAAATCTCAGATTTTGGAGCGTAGTTTTTGAGAAAAGTCAAAACGTTTGAAAAAACGGTTAAAAAACCGAAAATTTTGAGGGCCATAAATTTTTGTGTGAATAAATTTGGGCGTCGCCACGACCTGTTCTATCCCTTGAACCCAAAATCTCAAATTTGGATAGGTAGTATTCGAGAAAATGGAAAAAATCAAAAAATTTGGGTCTAAAATCCCCCCCCCCCCCACACACTTTTTTGAAGGCTGTAGAAAGTGGGGTAAGGTATAAAGAGACTAGGGAAGTATGCAGGTACACAGGAGAGTGAGCAGATTTACCATTAGTACCACTCTTTTGAAAATCGTTGTAGTAGTTTTTGAGAAAAACGAATATTTTCCAAAGCGTCTCAAAAAATAAAAAACCCGATCCCAATAACATTTTCATAATATCTGTTTTTATCAAACAGCAACAAAATATCTTATTGCCAACTCGATGCAGCAAATATTGCTGCTTTAAGTCGCAACAATAATTGTGACTTAGTCGCAACAATATTTGCGACTTAGGTTGGAAAAAAAGAAAAATCGCACTATAACACATTGCTTCGCAAGTGTAATCATTAAGCCGTATATCATTAAACATCTAGTATAAGATTTGATAATACTTCTATAAATAAACAAAAAAATCGCAAAAAGTCCAAATCAATCTGAGTCGACTGACCTGCAATGACGGCGGAGTAGGACACGAATCCGAGCCATGCATAAGTGTCGCTTCTGGGCAGTGCAATGACTAGAGTGAGATAGATTAGGTCAAAGGAGGACTGCAGTGCCTTCTGGAAGGAATTGAAGCGCCCACACTCCGAGGTGTCCACCGACTCCTGGATCATCTGTGTCACGCCAAGGTCAAACGTCCACAGTCCTAATGGCAGAAGACGATAGTATTTGTGAAAAACTTTTTTATCGAAAAACATGGACTTTGCAAGCAAATAGTTAAAAATTGAATGTAAGAGACAATTCGAGCAACAATTATGAAAAATACGACGCCATTTTGGACATATTTCTCGGCGAAGCCACATCCACAAGTGCATCTGTTTATTGGAGCTCAATTCAACTAAGCCCTTCATATAAAACTGATCTTACAAAATAACAATTGCGAAAGACTTCAACCCATCATGATTGGTTTGGTTTGTAAAGTAACTTTTTCAAACTAAAGGATGGTATCTGGTTTTCTTTTAGTGATATGCTGAACCTTCTGCCTTAATGAAGGCCTGGCTTTCAATTCACGCTCATTCTGTTCATTTTCAGCTTTAAGCTACGCTTGTCAATCGTTCGTAAAATCGGCCCAAAACTTGGCAATTACAGCTGCTTAAAATAAGGTTAAAGTTTTTAAAATATTTAAAAATCATTAAAATCTTCAGCCCCTACCTGGTCTCGTCTATATTTTTTCTCGTTTCACTGAACAAAAGATGTGAACACATGAAAACCACTTTAGTTTTCGACAATTGAAAAGACGGTTCTCATTCAAAAAACTTTATGCGCGGAAGACTTGATGAATGCATTGCCAACAAAACGATCAGCTGCTGTTTTTCACTTGTGGAAATGAGTATTTGCGGCATTTTTGTTTTAGACTTTCAGGTAGACTTTCACTTATGCAAACTTTTGAGTAAATTGCGCTTCTCACCTGCCCTTGAGAATATGATTCCGATTGCAAACACAATCACAGACATGTAGTTGTGGTCATCATCACTGCCAGCCTCAATCCCCTCAGTAGTAGCATTCTTACTTCCATTAAAGATTCCGGTCCCTGTCTCAGTTGGTGGTTCGGCAGCTGTGCCACTATTGCCACTGGATAGTACGTGCCAGGTGGATCCGGGGAGGAAGAAGGAGGCGACTGAGATGGACACACATGTGATCTGGATGATGCTGCCGACCATGGTGGTCCTGATGAGTCCCAGTCTGTTTTTGAGGAAGGGGAAGATGATTGTGCCCACCACTCCCATACATGAGCCTAAGAAAGATAGACGCTACAAACTGTCATTTTCTGCAAACTCCAGATAATCAACAAACGACCATAAACGATTAGACATTGAAATATATAGGGTCGGACACTAATCAAGACATTCTTCAAAGAGACACTCATTGTTTTATTCAGCTTCAAAAATTCATTTTCTTTAACCCTTTACGCCGATAATTAGACTATCTTTTTCCATAGATTTCAACGAGACGGCTAATTTTCATCCCCGAAAAACAGATTGCCCAAATTTTTTACAACAATCAACATTCGCCCTTTGAACTATGACTCCAACTTGCCTTCTGACCCATAAGTACATACAACAAGTAACCTTTTCCGGTAACTTTTTCATTGTCTATACAGATTGATTTTCAGTCATGGTAATAAGCTATCTTGACATGCACGTTATTCACGAAACGTTTCCCAATTAACTTTTGATTATTCTCATTTTAAGGTTGAATTTATTCTTCATTTTTGATGCTACTCAGTAACATGTTACAAAAGTTCAAAAGATAAGTTTTAGTTACAATAAATCGTTGTTTAAAAATATATATTTTTTCATCTTTGTGGTGCAAGAAGAGAGGAAATAAAAGTTCTTAAAACAAGTAGAATAAATAGAGTTCTTGGTAGTTAAACTAAAGAAAGTCTGAATTTACCTCCTTCACTGTTTGTCGACAAATTTTTCAGAATTTTTCTCTGGTGAACCATTGTTTCGTTTGTTAAACAATAGCGAGAAAACGACAAAACAGCATCTTAAGAAGATGAAAATAGATAAGGTACAAATGAGCCACCAATTAGAAAAAAACTTTGCTTTAAGTCGGCTTCGAACCTGCGACCTCGAGATTTGGAATCTCACGTCCTTCCCTCTCAGTCGAGGACGCTTAACATTTGGTAAACTCTAGCGACAAATAAAGGAGAAAACAGATGCTACAAAAGTTTCAATGCTACAGATCGTGATTATAGCAAAAATGCCACCATATGACCTTCAGTTTACGAGTTAAATTGTAAGGAAGTAGTCATAGTACACACTATGCTCGCTAGTGCACACACAGCTGAGAAAACGACAAAAGGCAGCTCTAAATAGAAAAAAACTTGAATTAGAAAACTCTTTGCAATGTGTCGGATTCGAACCTTCGATCTTCACAACTAAACATCTGCGCTACTGGAAAATACACTCAAACTAGTCACCAAATGAGCAGACAACAAATGCTATGGAATTTTCAAAGCTATCGATCAAGATTATAGCAAATAATCAAATGAGCATTTGCGAGTAAGTTGGAAAGAAGTATAGTCAAAATATTACACTAAGTTCGCTTGTGTAGTGATGCCAGATTTTCCGTGATAAAAAAATCACCCGAATGCAGAGTTCCTTCTTTTTTGGCCCTTTTAAAGCTCACTTCAATACCAACTGCAATTTAGTCGCCAGATTATATATGCAACAACTAAATAAAAATGTTTTTCCTCGCATAGTTGTAACCAACTGACTTTTGGCCTACTGTGTATCATATATTGCAATTTAAAGTTTCATACAGGGTTGAATCGGAGCTAAGCACCATTTGCAATACCAAACAATCATTAAAGCAGATAAAAATTTGAGATGCGAGCATTTAGGTCGAAAAAATTGAGAACACTCAAAATAACCACATCCACAAAATTAGAGAAAAAGACGTCCAACAACAGAGCCGCCGGCCTAAACAAAAAGTCAGTAGAATTAAGCGAGCACCAACAACTAAATCGACTGCAATTAATAAATACCCGTTTAGCAAAAATCAAACACAATTATTGTCAAGAAAAAGTTTAAGCTATTAATTTCTGAAAACCTAACTTTTTACATTCCCCCCCCCCCCCCCGAAAAAAAACAGAAAAAAGTAAAAATCTATTTCCTTTTAAAAAAGCAAAATTGGGTCACTAAGCGTAAACCAGTCAGTCGAAAAAAGCGTTTAAGCGGAAAAAAGACGAAATTATACAAAGCAAGAGTTGGTAAATATACAAATTACAGAAATGAGTCAAACCCGCTTCAATTACATTGAACATGAATTATATCAAATGAAGTTCGTGATATGGCACCTCAGCCGATAAAACATAAGCAGACAACGATGTATTTTTTTAAACGTCCAAAGCCCAGTCGTTACCTCTAGACCAAATTTGCCGAAACTAATAAAGTTGATTTCATTACACAGGGGGAAGCGGCAAACCCAAGCTAAAAACGCCAAGCAGTAGATATAAAAAAGTAAAAGAAAATGAAAACTTAAGTGAGTTATGAAAAAAATATATTGACCTCTACGGGAATCGAACAAGCCCTCGGGCATCCAAGCTTTCCAGTGTCGCTGATGCATATACAACCAAAGACAAGCGGGAAAGCGGCAAAAGGGAGCTTTACAAAACACAAATTTTGCATGTAATAATTTGGAATGTAATTAACAAAAGATACATGCAATTTATGTATAAATTAGGCATTTCAAAAACTTTGCGAAACATTGAGTTTGGAAATTTTTGAAATTGAGTTTTCATTTATTACTGTTGTATGAAACAAATAGCTTTTGCCTGTTCATTTGAAGAATTAAAAATGCATGAACTGCGCAAACATATCAACTGAAACTCAAAGCACATGCTATTAAACCGCCAAAGCAGCCGGCTGTAAGAAGGCCACCAAACGAAAGTAGCACTTACATTTGCTACTAGTTTGGAACAGAAGTTGGGTCTTATGCGTTAAACGGCCCAAAAATCAAAATTGAAGCAAAATGAAAACTAAAACTGAAACTGATCCTGATTGGCTAATATTAGCCAATCAAATTCGAGCAACTAGGTCAGCCACTTCGATTGATACTGAGATTAATCCTGATTGGCTCGTATAATATGTAATAACTGAAGTAATTGTATGTTGATTATGTGTTTTCAATTTGAAATAAAATTTCTGACTATTTTCCTAATTTTGGGCCGTTTAACGCATAAGACCCCAGAAGTTTCCTTGAAGTATCACACTACACTACACTTCGCTTGTGTAAACATACGTGGTATGACATGTTCAAAATTATACTCACTTGCAGCCATGGTGAGTGAGAGATATCCCTCTGAGAGTCCCTGCAGAAGCATGTAGCCATTTGTGACCGCGTTGAAGTTGAGGACAGTGAGAAACAGAAGCGCCAGAGCTAAACACAAACAAAATGCTTACTCGACTAGAACACTCCAAAGTGATCTGATTCTGAATTGTTTCATTTTGGACATCAAGTGAGGAAAAATTAGGTTCAGATACAAGGTGAAAAAGTTATCATTCGCGGGGTGTATGATCAATACATTTCTGGCAGTTGAAATCCTGCCTGGTTGCACTTATTAGCGTTTTCTGAGCAATCATTTTCGCTTCAATTTTCATAAATTAGTTTGCTCACCGAATCCCGCATATTTGACTGTGTATGAGTTGTATATTTTGAATCCGTCTCTAAAGGTCAGAAAAAAGAAGAGGAATTTGCTGCATGTGGTTTTTCCAAATGAAGATCCCTTGTTCAAAGGATGGGACGGTCCATTGTCGATGTTCTCCCGTTCTCTAAAATACATCATGAACAAATACTTTAGTTTTTTCAACAAGAGTAACAGAGCGATAAGATATATTACAACGGAAACAGCCATTAACTTTCGAGCAAACTTCAGTCTAACTAAGGCAATGGATAAAGATAAAAGGGTGTTCTATCAACTATTTCTAATATGAACCCGCGCAATTTACTGAGCGAACTTTGCTCGAATTTACTACCCGGATAGAATCAGGGTCAGATCTATGCGAGAGGGTTAGTATTTAATATCATTTGGTGACACACCGGCTCTAAAAACTGTTAATTTTGTCGATCCAAGAACCATGCAAACACATCCGCCCCTGCTTATTATCATTAGGGGGGGGGGGGGGGGGGGGGGTTTACATGCATGGTTTGAGACAGAAGCAATTACCGATCGACCATCCAATGGTTCAAGCACGCATATATTTTGTCTCATGCGTATCTGCTTTACATGCATTAGCTGAATATAATTTAATTTATAAGCCGATGAAGAAGCAAAGAATGTTCCGAACACATAACCATTGCAAACAATAACAATAAAAAATCTTATTTTTGGCAAATTTTGTGAGAGTTTCTTAGCTGGTTAAGCTTGTCTGTTATGAAGCTTCTGTTATTGAAATAAGCTTCAATAATATGCTTAAAAAGCATTAAAATATCGAAAACAAAATAATCAGACCGCAGACAAAAGCACAGACAGAACTATTCGAATCCGAGCCAAGACTGAAGAAGCTGTTAGAAAATACAATACTCCACGAGCAATCCTATAAGACATTTCTTCGTGGTATCTGAGTTCGCGTGAAAAAGAAAAAGATGGTTCCTAAGGGTCGCAACAAGTAGCAGACTGCCTCAAGGCCTATCTACTCATTCATAACGTTACTTCTAACAAAACTAAATCCACATCATTAGCTCATGCGAGGCATCAAAGATTGAACAGAAAAGGTGAACAGAGGTCAAGAGTCAGAAGAGACTGGCCATATACCTAATAGCGACGTTAGACACATCGTGCCTGGTCGTTCTCTCAAGGAGAAGACTCTCCCCCAGAGCAACCGAGTTCTCATAGAGCTCATCATGAAACTGATCGCCCTCTGAGCTGAGAGGGAGAGCCCTGATTTGGGCGCCTACTCTGCTTTGTTGGGGCCTGTTAGGGTTAGTATCAATGACAAAAGAAGTAGTCGTATTTTGGGCGAACGGGTTCGAGTGACCGCCCACTGCACCTGCTATTGCAGCCTGGTTGCTGTAGCAAATACCAAATCCAGTTTAAAGCAAACTCAATTCCAAAATTTCACTCAATTACATTCACTATTTTTATTTGAAAAATTCAAATACTTCAAGTTTTTACGGATCTGAAGTTCACCTTTCAAAAAATGTTCTTCAAGAAGTTCTAGCCAGGATACGCTTTTCCACCTTCTATTATTAGCTGTTTTTAATTAATTTTTGCAAAAAATTATAAAAACTGTGGTCCACGGTGTGAAAATACTTTTTTTATTCAAACTAGTAATTTTTACGGACTTGGTCATTTCAAATTTTTTTATGAGGCAGATATTGTTATTGCACATTCTTTGGATAGCATTATATTGTTCAAACCCTTGGTTAAAATATGACAATAATTTAATTACTTTTCATTCTACCATTTTCTTGTAAGATAACCTATACCATATAATTCCTGACTTGAATTCTTGCGTTTATTTATGTTCATGAATTTTTGACCCATCTTTTTCTGTACATAACTTCAAAAAAAATTGTTTGAAATATCAAAATTTTTCATTTTCCGTGAAAAATTCCTGTTCGTGCAATAAAGCAAAAACATTACAGCCTTATTTTCAACCATCCCTCATAAATTTCAATTACTAATCAGGAAAAAATGAGACCAAGATACTAAACGCCTATACAGCAATTAAGACACTGCGCAAGGTTTATTAGAGCCCCTAAAAACAACCTTTTTGAAGTGTGAAATGGGATTTTTCCAGTCAAATTGAAATAATTCCAAAAAAACATGCCAACAGATATTGAAAAGTCATAGATGAGCGACGGCAACTATGACTCTCAATCATAAGTTATTGGTTCCAGGCCCACCATGATCGTAATTCCAAAAAAAAACAGGTCTCAAAATCATAAGTGAACAAAATGACGCGAAGGGACTTTCCAAAATATGAACAAGTAACGTGACTTTAAGAAAAAAGAAAAGGAATTAGTTGATAGAAAAAAGAATTAGTTGATGGAAGTGAAGTGCTTACTTAGTCAATGACGTCATCTCGGCATTCTCTGGCTCCTGCTGCAGCTTCTGCACGTTCTCATTTGAGCCTGAAATCAAAATAAATGATCCATTTTTTCAATCATCAAACAATCCCAAAATATTTTCTCATACAGTTTAATTGAAAAATTTTAACAACTCGAGTAACATAAATAAATGGCAAAATTCTAAAAACAAAACAAAAACAGAAGCTGAGAAACAAAACACACAAATAGACTTCAAGAAGAAACATAGACTCAACAAAAATAAAACATTTGGATTATGATGCCACCTTTGAATACAATGATATTGCTACGTGAAGAACATTCAAAAGAAAAAAAAAGAGGATAAAAAATCGTCGGTTTTCTGTTATTTGATCCATAAAAAGGTTGAATGAACTGACCAGCAGAATTGGCTTTAACACTGAGAGCTGGTTCGAGAGTGTAGACATGTACAAGTATGCTGTACTCCAACAGGGCGGAGACCACATTCCAGACTGCGATGAAGAGGGCGGTGAACTTCCTGCCCGCTCCCTCCATCAGAAAACCCACAAATATGGGCGCCACTATGTTCGTCACCATGTCTATACGCCTCATCGTTGCATTCACGTCTAAACATGAGCAAGAAATAATAATGAACCGTATAGAATCACAATATAGAATTCGTACAACTTGAAACTTTAGGCCTTACATTCTCTAGCTCAGCTGAAGAATCAAAATTTTTTTAAGCTATCCAAAATTTTAAAAGTCTTGACAAAATGAGAAAAAATTGACAGAAGAGTTTTTTAACTGCTTCCCAAACAGTGCAGGAGTATTGAACCTCTCACTGTAACCTTTTTCAGTTTCTTCAGAACGTTAAATCACATGCTTTTCATTCAATCTCATGATTCATGAAAAAATGCCTTGTGAAAACTTACATAGAAAAACAAAGATTTGCACACAGAGACGAAACTAAGCTTCAGGCCACTTGCAATACAAAAATTAATTACTACGATAAATATGACAAAATTGAGTTTCAAATACTTCGCAAAATTTAACTGACAAAAATATCAAGATGAACAATGATTTATGAATAACAAGGTTGTTTTGAAGGTTGGCCGGTTGTTTTGAAGGTTTCATAGTGCCGGTTAGCCAGGTTTCTTTAATTTCTTGTTTTGAATTCTTTTAGAAGTATCTGTCGTTTTTGGGCAGATGTAATGGATTAAAATTAAGCATCAATTAGATTTAAAAAGATAATTAGGAAAAACATCGGATTTTGGAGTGAGCACCCTACAAAATTCCGCTAAAAATTATTCTGAAAAACGGAGACATTCGCCACTTTAATAGGCATAATAGACTCTGAAAGAACTTGTCCGACTTTTTGTGGTATCACAATCACGACCAATAGGCCTTTGATATAATACAATACTGAACCTCCAACGAGGTTCTTTGCGGTACCTAAAACTAAGCGAAAAATTTCCCAAAACTATTGAGAGCGGTGCGAAGAAAAACTATGCTACTAAGCCGTTTCTCGCTTAGTTAACGGATAGGAAAAGTATGAAAGATAAAGAAAAGAAACGTTTTTTGTTTCAAAATTTTGTAATCAGAAAAAAATTATTTCCAGTTTGCAAAATTGTGCTTTACCTGTCTCGAAGTTCAGCTTGCACATATATGATTTTCGAGAATTAGGTAATTGTTCCGATTTATGAAGAAAGTCAGGAAAATATATGCTTGGGTTGAATTTTTATTTAGACAAACTTCATAACACACAGGCGCAGGCGAAGCCGAGCTTCGCATCACTTCCTATACAACACAAACATAAAAACATAAGTCGAAAAAAATTTTCTGAATGTTGAAAAAAACTATTTAAAACAAAATTTTCGTATGTCTAGATTAAAAAAACAACTAGGGACCCAGCTCAAGCTGGAGGTATGTTTTTGATATTGATTGAATTTGCTACATTGATGCGGCACGAAAAATGTGATGTTAAAAAATTGGGCTTTGGCTCAAAACCTTAGTTGTTTCTCTACTAAAATAAGTGAGGAGTAAAAAAAAATTAAGAAAATCAATTTGCTCAAGGAAATAACAATTTTGTTACAGGCAATTATGGAGCCACCGCTTCTGCAGAAACCATTATCACAACCAGTTCTTTAAGTTAAACTTTTCATCTCAGATTTGATTACGTAAAGTTTCTAAAAAAGGGTCAGCAGTATTTCAAAAATCCATATATTTTCCAGCAGAGAGCAAAAAGTTTATAAAAAACTTGCAAAGCTTCAAAACTTCGATTCGGTTGAAGACCATAACTTTTTTGAAGCAAACTGGGCCTAGCCATTTATAACGAAAAGCTATAAACAACCGGTTGTTTCGATTAAACCTATGATATCAGATTTGGCAGGATAGTTAGCGAGAAGTCCAAAAAACGGTCAACTAATTTAAAAAATTGGCATTTCCGAGAATTTAAGCTTTTTATGTTAAAAAATAGGGCGTAGCCGCTTATACAGAAGGGATTCACTCAACCTGCAATTTCGATTGAACCCAAAATCTTAAATTTGTTACGGTAGTTTTCGAGAATATTCAAAAATCTAAGAATATTCAAAAAATGGTCAAAAATCAAAAAGTTGACTATTCTGCAGCCATTAATTTGTGTAAATAAAAGTTGTGCGTTGCTACTCCTTCGGCGAGCATTGCGAAACAATTCTATTCATTAAAACCAAAAACTCAGAAATGCTAGGGGCATTTTTCGAGAAAACGAAAACAAAAATATGAGTCAAATATCCCCCAGAGACTGTTTCGAAGGCTGTAGACAGAGGGGTCAAATAAAAAGGACTCCCGGTGAGTATACCGGCACACAGGGGAGTGAGCGGTCTTTCAATTGAAAAGCATTTTAAAAAAATCTAAGCCTTTTTTGAAAATCAGTAGAAGTTTGACGAATTTGGAAAACATTTTCCATAATAAAAAAAAAATCAACAAACCGACTTGTAAACATACAACCAACATCAAAAGTGCGGAGGGGAGTGTTCAAGTTGTGTTTTTCTTGAAACGACCAAAAATTAGGCCATTATGTCGATATAGAGAGAGAGGCGAAGCTGCGCTTCGCAAACACTTGCGAGAACACGACCAAAAAAGCAGCTCTTTCAAGTGAAATAAGAAAAAACAAATAATAATTTCATATTAGCAACAGTTCGGCTACGTGTCGGATTCGAATCTACGACCAACAAAATTCGAGTCTCACACACTAACCAGCCATGATGCTTAAAATCCCTAAAAACTAGCAACCAATAACGCAGTTACATTTGCTAATAATTGCCAATTCGATGCAGCAAATTACAACAAATACAAAAAGACACAATAGTGCATGTAATAAGTGGGAGGGAATGAAGCCAAATTATGAATAAACTATGCATTCCAAAAAATGCGAAATTCATTGAATTGGAAAATTTCTGAAGTCGAGCTTTTTATCAGTGTACTGCTTTTTCAAACGAACTTTTTTCGGTTCATTTGATGAAATAAAAATGCATCAGCTGAGTTAACTTTTTACTGATCAAATGTCAAAGCACATAAGATATTATACTGCCACCGCAGCCTACCGATTCATTAGTGCCACAAAAATTAGCACTTTTATTTGCGACTTAGGTTGGAAAAAAAGAAAGTTCGGACAATTTACATATGCTAAGCAATGCGTATTAGTACGAACTTTCTTTTTTTCCAGGCAACGTAAATAGTCCAAAACAATTTGGGCCGAAGATTTTTTAAGCGAAACAAAAAAATGCAGGAAATACGAAGTCAAGGCAAGTTAAATTAAAAAATGTAGCAGCAAATCAAAAACTAGAAGCAACGAAAATGCGCGCAACAAAAAAATGATTTCAAGATGCGACAATTATGTCGACAACGGATAAACAGAAAAATAATTGGCCGCCATTTTTATGTGAAACAGAATATTTGCCGTTTGAAAAAAAAAAACAGATCGTGGTCAGATTCGAACCCAGGACACTTGCCGTCCTAGGCATATCTCCAGGCTAAGTTGGCCGAGGAACGCATAGAAGTTTGAATTCATTCTGGATCAATATACAAGTCATTCTGTTACACATATTGTTGGCCCGAAAAAAGTCTATATTCCAGTTTGATAACGCTTGCTAATGGGGATCTCATATGATGCTGTTCAAATCTTAACACGAATTACAATCCCGCGCACAAAATTGTTACCAATGAAAATCGGGCAAGCCAATACAAAAAAGAATTCACACAAAGTATTGGAGAGCATCTATAGGGTAAAAGGAACATTAAGGGATTCTTGTTTCTTTTACGGAAACATTTAGAGCTTCCTGTTTCTTTTAAGGAAACATTAAGAGCTTGCTTCTTTTACCAATTAATTTTTTTGATTTAAGTGATTCATTTTCGCGATTGTCTGTGATTTTTAATAAGTTAAGTGTTTCATCGCACGTGAGAATTTTTGAGAGCTACATTTCGAACGTTAAATAAAATTTCAATTTCCGGCTTTGGTACTCTTGCCTTTAATGCACTTTTGTATCTAAATCTAAAAAATCTTGTAATCACCAGCGATTCCTCCATGGCAAAAACGACATCTTAAAGCTACTTCACAATTTTGAAACAAAAAAGCGACTTTCTATTCAGCCATGGCATTCCTTTAAGCAATCAATTAATATTCGTCGACTACGCAAACAAACTGTGTCATGATTTCGATGTTTCAATAATATTTCATTGTTGTTGGGTTGAATGTACGTAATCGATCCAGACTGACCTGTGAGGGCGAAGTGTCCTGCATTTGCAATGACCACCACCCAGTCCTTCTCAATTGCAATGGAGTTGGCAGCACTAGACAATCTACCAACCACAGACATGAATATGATTCCAGCCAAGTAGAGAGTGACTGACCAGTCTCCTATGTGTCCAGTGTCCAAGTAGCTATCCAGTAGGATGTAGATGAGGATGTTGCTCACTACTGCGCACAAATTCTGCACCAGAACTGTCACTCGGATCACTAAACAACCACACAGACTAATCAAAACTGCTACTTTCTTATTCCGTTTCATTTACCATGAATATCTACCGCTATGAAACGCACATGAATTTCAATTTTATGGAGTAAACAGTAGTTCTACAAGGTTATGCATGAAAATCACTTAAGTCTGGAATTAGTTTATTACCAAACTTCAAGCTTCTTCACCAATGGACAACGTAAACAAAAGTTACACATACAAAAAACAGCGCTCTATTGATGTTCATGCACATTTTTGTGCCGTCAGATTCAACATTTGAAGCTGGTGCTTCCACATATTGCTCCACATATTGCACACAACTACTTTAATGGTGCCACTCTGATGACAACAAAACTGACCGTGTAATCTCCTGGAGAGGTCTATCCAGTAGCCGATGACATGTAGCAGAAGGATAAGAGAGATGGATATGGAGATGGAGTTGAGAGCAGTGACCCGGAGGGATCCCTCGTCCGGCGAGAGGATCACCAAGAACAGACCGAGAGAGAAACCCCACCACCTGTCACCCTAACACGTGCAACACAGTAGGGTAGGTTACTTTACTCTCAACTGAAGAGAAATCTGACAAGCAACACCCCAGGAAAGCCCCTTTTCAGCCAAATAAAAATTGCATATGAATGATAAATGAGTGAACTTCATGATATACAGAGTAGAAATAGCGAAGAAGGGTTGAAAATCATCGAAAAATGATTGGAAAATGAAATAAATGTAGGATAGAAGTCCAGTGAGCAGATTGAGTGCCCTTGATATAAGGACCTTTCAGTTTTTGCAACAGTATATACTACAAGTTGATTTTGTAACTCAATTGCATATTTTGTTAGCATTGTTGGATTAATAAATTCTTGCTTTCTGAATTTCAAATTGGTCGGCCTAGAAAAAGTAATGGTTTTTGAAAACTCACCCTCCCCTCAGGGAAAGGCTACTACAGCTGCGCCTGCGTTTTAAATGATTGATAGCCTGTGTTATCTTTTTTTAAATGTAATTAATACTTGCTTCAATGCAATTGTTAAAACTGATTTATAAATTTTTTCTCTTTTTAACTTACCCATGCTTGCAATGCGTGAGTGTAGTAAAGCTGCCATTTGATTCCCAGAAATATCTCTGAAATAAACAGGCTGGCTTGCTTGCTGTTATCTTATTTTTTAACATTGCAACAGAAAATGTGCAACTTAGATAGCTAGAAAAAAAATTTATGTTAAAATAGAAGTTGTAAACAGGAGCTAACTGAGAGGGCAGGGCAGGGCTGCGACAGACCTCCTCCCGCCTGAATTTGGTACGGTCACCACCTCCCCCCGAAGGTCCTCTTTTGGTACTTTTTTCATTCTTTTTTGGCCGACCAACCCTTTAACTTTTCTTAGAGCGCATGGGGTGCCAATATATAATATATTCCAGGGGAGCGCGTGCTGAAAATACTTCTTGTCAAATTCTTTCTAGTATGCTCAAAACTTGCATTGTGGGCTGCATTAGAAAATAAAATTTGGTCGACCCAAACATATAAATATAAACATTACATTTTTTTGAAACTCCACTCACTCGAGATAAACCCTAGATTTGCCCCATGTCTCTGTATAAGTAGTAACAATAACTGACCTCGACGTGATTTTTTCGTTTTTATCGTCTCCGTCGTACTTCTGTATGTCTCGTCCATAATTGCTCTCACCTGGTGACCGAATTCAGATGTCTATCGAGTATCCTTGGTTTCAAAGTCAAGTAAAATAATTCACAAATGTCAAACTCATCGAAGTTTACAAAGCTAGTCGTAAACACAAACAAACAATGATATCTCTTTCATCCAAAGGAACTCGAAACTGATCTCGCTATTAAGTAGATTAGCTCAATTAAGCAGAATTTGTTAACCATGGATGGGACTTGGGATTCACGAGAGAAACAACATTGCACTAGAAAGCCTCTATTTTGAGACTTCCTTTCAAGACCCAATCTAGGAGTGGGCTTGACATCTAATCTGAAAAGAGCGTAGTGCACTTATCATTTTGATTGATGTGATTGTGATATAGTAGTAACCTGTCATTTGACAATAAACGCCGACTGCTCAGTTTGGATTTGTACACATAAACGAGCAGCAAAAAGAAAGGTTACACTTCTAGAAAGCAGCTTAAACACAAAAAATCTATTCCCAAATTAGAGATACCATAAAATGTATACATCACTTAAAGGTAAGTGTACATCGCACGCATAAGTTATGGCGAAGCAGTTAATTGTCAGATTTTTTGAAACTGCTTCCGTTTTTTTGTGCGATCAGGAGGGCTGATCAAGCCTAAGGTTCCTGAATAATAATAGCTTATCCACCCATTAAACTAATAATTAATATCTTCAAGAAAAATCAGAAATTTTACTGCTTCCAAAACGTCACTCATAATTAGTCTGAAAAACCAAAACGATTCAGGTAGGTTTTCCCGTTATTCTGTAAGGTTTTTATTGCAGCTCTAATTACGACTGAAGGGCCTTAGCATGATGCATCACTCAAACCCACAAGACGCTTTTAGCAGTACCTAGATATGTCTGCAGATAGGTGCCTTTCTTTAAAAAAAAATTTCGAAAAATTATTTTTACCTAAGTGACTACATATTCTTCATCTCTGGTTCATCCAGACATCCAGCAAGCAAGTGCAACAAAAAACCGGACTAATCGACAAGACGATTACGAATGCGTTCCCATGTCTTCAAGATAATTGTGCGAAATGGCTGGAAAAATCTAATTCAGCTAGGAGGAGCGAGAGTTATTGTACAAATTGACGAAAGATGTTTTTCACACAAGTCAAAAATTACCGCAGTCGAGCCCCATAACACAATATGGGTTAATAGCATAGTTGACACCAGTATTTCCCTGCAATCGGTTAAATGGAGATTGTGGAACGCAGAGATACTGATACCCTACTTCTTTTTTATTATAACCGCAATTGAGCCCAAGTTCATTGCAATCGGGTACTAGACTTTTTTTCCAGTAAACAACTTTGTCCACACTTCTTGGGGATCTTCACTTCTAGAGAATCTTCTGCTTTCAGATTGTAATTTCAGATTATAATTATCTTTTCAAAGGTTGTAATTTTACGTTGAGACATTTTTTTTGAAAAGATAATTATAACTTAGAGAGACATTTTTTTGAAAAGATAATTAAAGTTTAAAATTTAGAAGTTTTTACGACCCATCCAAACTAAAATTCAGAATCCCAAACGGATGTTTTTTGCTCTCGAAATTACACAAAATAAATTCCGCTAGTTGATATACCATTGCCTGAAACTGTTTGATTATTAAAAAAAATGAACGAAAAAAAAAACTATTAGACATGGTAAAGTTACAAATTCGTGAAGTTTCAGTTATAATAAAAAAATTTAATTCAAAACAAAACCCATGCTTTAAAAAGTAAACCAATTAAAATTCTACCAGATAAAAAATGGCGTTTAAGAAAACGGAAAAAAAGCCGACAGAAACCAGGACGAAAACCACAAACCCGAAAAAAATTGTAATTATCTTTTCAGAAAAAAACGCCTCAAATTTTTTTCGGGTTCGTGGTTTTTGTCCTAGTTTCTGTGGGTTCATTTTCCGTTTTTTTAAATGCTATTTTTTATCTGGTAGGGTTTTAATTGGATATTTTTCAAAGTATGGGTTTTGTTTTAATTTAAACAGTTTTAACTATAACTGAAACTTCACAAATTTGTAACTTTACCATGTCTGATTTCGAGTTTTTTTTTTCATTTTTTTTCCTTTTTTTGAATAATCAAACAGTTTCAGGTAATGTTATATCAACTTAGTCAATTTATTTTGCGTAATTTCGAGGGCAAAAATAGCCGCTTGAGATTATGTGTTTCAGTCTGGATGGGTCGTAAAAACTTCTAAACTGTAGATTAATTATCTATTCAAAAAATGTCTCAACCTAAAATTACATCCTTTGAGAAGATAATTATAACCTGAAAATTGAATCTGAAAGCAGAAGATTCTCTAAACTGAAGATCATCAAGAAGTGTGGACAAAATTGTTTACGAGAAAAAAATCTATTACCCGATTGCAATACCCTTGCTTATCGCAAGGGTACAAAATCTAGTACCAGATTACACTACAGTTTCGATTGAAGATGTGCGCGAGCATTCCAGCTTCAAGATTGCAAAAAATCAACGACATGAGAAACCGAGATCCATCACTATAATTCATATCAAAACTCATTTGATGAACTTAACCAAAGGGAAGGCCAAGAAACTATTTAGCAGATGAAGAAATTGCAAAAAACAAAAACCAAACTTTTTTTGAAGTTTTCTGATCAAAAAAACCGTAGTCCTACAAAAAATTCAAGCAGAAAAATCATTCTGTCCTGCGCTAAAGGAAAATGAGAAGAAAACACAAAAAATATTTTTTGAACTTCGATTTAGGACAGCTTAATTACTTGAGACTCCTTTAAGTGAACAGTTTCTGGAACATATAAAAATGATTTTATGGTCAAAATAGCTAAAATCAAGAGAAACGCCCGAGCTAAGGGAACTAAGCCAAAAACTTAAATATATATACCAAAAATATCCCGAAATAAATTTTTCAGACTGGCCTGTTCAGATTCGAACGACATACGTTTGCCGTCTGAAACCTGGATGTTAGCTCTACGCCAAATGTACACATTATGAAAACTTGAAATTTACTAAAAATCAGCGCTTCGATTTACTCTTTACAACAGCAATTAAGCGTAATTTGACCCTTTTCCTCAGAAAGCACCACAAAATGTACCGAAAATAAAATAAGTGTGGAAAATCTATTAATTCTGAACAAAAATTTCAAAATGTCTTCCATTTTGATGGGTAGCAGCAGTTGGCTGAAACTAAGCGACAAGTACTGCAGGTTTTTAAGCTCACAGGAAATATTTAACCAATTCAAAGAGGGCCCATACCTGCAAGGAACCCTTTTTATTCATAACAAGAAAAGCTACCGAAAAACTATGAAAAAGAAATACAAGAATAAGAACATAAATGATTGAAAACACTTCTGAAAGCATGGAAAATTATGGTCTAAAATATATAAAAATTTAATATCAGCAAAAAATTTTACGGCTGGCCCAAGTTCATTGCAATCGGGTACTAGACTTTTTTTTCCAGTAAACAACTTTGTCCACACTTCTTGGGGATCTTCACTTCTAGAGAATCTTCTGCTTTCAGATTGTAATTTCAGATTATAATTATCTTTTCAAAGGTTGTAATTTTACGTTGAGACATTTTTTTTGAAAAGATAATTATAACTGAGAGAGAAATTTTTTTGAAAAGATAATTAAAGTTTAAAATTTAGAAGTTTTTACGACCCATCCAAACTAAAATTCAGAATCCCAAACGGATGTTTTTTGCTCTCGAAATTACACAAAATAAATTCCGCTAGTTGATATACCATTGCCTGAAACTGTTTGATTATTAAAAAAAATGAACGAAAAAAAAAACTATTAGACATGGTAAAGTTACAAATTCGTGAAGTTTCAGTTATAATAAAAAAATTTAATTCAAAACAAAACCCATGCTTTAAAAAGTAAACCAATTAAAATTCTACCAGATAAAAAATGGCGTTTAAGAAAACGGAAAAAAAGCCGACAGAAACCAGGACGAAAACCACAAACCCGAAAAAAATTGTAATTATCTTTTCAGAAAAAAACGCCTCAAATTTTTTTCGGGTTCGTGGTTTTTGTCCTAGTTTCTGTGGGTTCATTTTCCGTTTTTTTAAATGCTATTTTTTATCTGGTAGGGTTTTAATTGGATATTTTTCAAAGTATGGGTTTTGTTTTAATTTAAACAGTTTTAACTATAACTGAAACTTCACAAATTTGTAACTTTACCATGTCTGATTTCGAGTTTTTTTTTTTTCATTTTTTTTCCTTTTTTTGAATAATCAAACAGTTTCAGGTAATGTTATATCAACTTAGTCAATTTATTTTGCGTAATTTCGAGGGCAAAAATAGCCGCTTGAGATTATGTGTTTCAGTCTGGATGGGTCGTAAAAACTTCTAAACTGTAGATTAATTATCTATTCAAAAAATGTCTCAACCTAAAATTACATCCTTTGAGAAGATAATTATAACCTGAAAATTGAATCTGAAAGCAGAAGATTCTCTAAACTGAAGATCATCAAGAAGTGTGGACAAAATTGTTTACGAGAAAAAAATCTATTACCCGATTGCAATACCCTTGCTTATCGCAAGGCTACAAAATCTAGTACCAGATTACACTACAGTTTCGATTGAAGATGTGCGCGAGCATTCCAGCTTCAAGATTGCAAAAAATCAACGACATGAGAAACCGAGATCCATCACTATAATTCATATCAAAACTCATTTGATGAACTTAACCAAAGGGAAGGCCAAGAAACTATTTAGCAGATGAAGAAATTGCAAAAAACAAAAACCAAACTTTTTTTGAAGTTTTCTGATCAAAAAAACCGTAGTCCTACAAAAAATTCAAGCAGAAAAATCATTCTGTCCTGCGCTAAAGGAAAATGAGAAGAAAACACAAAAAATATTTTTTGAACTTCGATTTAGGACAGCTTAATTCCTTGAGACTCCTTTAAGTGAACAGTTTCTGGAACATATAAAAATGATTTTATGGTCAAAATAGCTAAAATCAAGAGAAACGCCCGAGCTAAGGGAACTAAGCCAAAAACTTAAATATATATACCAAAAATATCCCGAAATAAATTTTTCAGACTGGCCTGTTCAGATTCGAACGACATACGTTTGCCGTCTGAAACCTGGATGTTAGCTCTACGCCAAATGTACACATTATGAAAACTTGAAATTTACTAAAAATCAGCGCTTCGATTTACTCTTTACAACAGCAATTAAGCGTAATTTGACCCTTTTCCTCAGAAAGCACCACAAAATGTACCGAAAATAAAATAAGTGTGGAAAATCTATTAATTCTGAACAAAAATTTCAAAATGTCTTCCATTTTGATGGGTAGCAGCAGTTGGCTGAAACTAAGCGAC